TTTAAAAAATATCAATAATTAATAATTTATCTAAAATTTAAAGTTTAAAATAAAAATTAAATTTTTTAACTGACAACAAACTCAAGACAACTAACGATCAAATCTTAATAAAATTATAATGTAAATAACTAAAACTTATATTTTTTGAATTCAATAACTATAACTTTAAAAAAACTCAAACGAAAGTAATCAACTTAGTAATTTACCCTTAATTTTTCTATAATTTTTTTAATATAATTAAATTTATTTTTATTAAAATAATTATTTAAAAATTAGTTAGTTGATAAATGATAAATTTATTAAGTGAACATAATAATAAAAGAAAATATTAATTTTTTAAAGGTTATATGTATATTATTAATTGATTAAAAATTTACATAAATATTATTTTGTAATTATCTAAAATAAATTATATTTACTTTTTATTGAACAGCTAATGTGATACGATTGGTTCGTGTAATCTACGTGCTTTCTGGTTCGCTTGGATTTGTCATTAAACAAGACATGTATACAGGTACAGCATAGCCAAATTACTCTCAATTATATTTTTTGTTCTCTATCGCGACTCCCGTCACTTATTCCTTTTGGTTCTTCATTAATCTCTGTTTCAATCGTGAAGAACCCCAAAGCCTAGAAAATCAAACTAGCAATTTTATTAAATTACCCTTTAAGTTATATTGGTTCAATTTTTATTTTATTTTTTACATATTAAAGAGAGCTTTCTTTGTAAAGAAAAGAAAAGAAAATGGCTCAAGCTGTTGAAGAATGGTACAAACAGATGCCAATCATCACCCGTTCTTATCTCACAGCTGCCGTAGTTACCACTATCGGTTGCTCTCTCGAAGTATGCCTCTTTTCCTTTTATTTTCTTTTTAAAATGTGTTCTTATTGCTTTTATTCTTGTTTTGCTGTTATTTTTCTCTATCTGGGCAATATGATTGAAATCTTATCTTCAATTTTCATTGATTAATTATTATTATTTTTTCCTTTTAATTCATATGCAAAGGGGTATGGATATATTCGGCAGATTTGATCTGTGCTCGTCTCAAATTTATGAATTTGGCGACTCCCAATTGGATTTGCCATATGGTTTTTGATTTTGTCATTTATGCTTCGAAATTTATTTCTTGAGAAACTTAATTGGGAATTTCAGCAGGCAAAGCTAGCCAGTAGTTTGCTCCTCCTGTTTGATTTTGGGTATACTAGACAATTGGGTATTATGTGTTTTCCATCCTGATTTAAAAAGAATTTTTTATATTATCGGGGATTGTTATGCTAATCTAATTTAATTCTGAATCTTTGCAGATAATATCACCTTATCATCTGTACTTGAACCCTAAGCTCGTTGTTGAGCAGTATCAATTCTGGCGCCTCATTACTAACTTCTTGTACTTCCGCAAGATGGGTAAATTTCATGTGCTTTTACGTCTGAGCGTCAAGAAATCTCCGGTTTATTTTACCTTTGGAATAATGCTGTGCAGCATGTTGTGCATGTTATTGCTAAAGATGTAGAATGTTCCAACTGGAACAAAAGGGAGTTGTAGTGTGGTACTTAATGAAAAATGAAGAGTTCGAGCAACATGAGTTTCTTTATGCCTGCCTTCAAATTATAGTCAAAAGTATGCAAATGCAGTTGTGTTTTAGATGATTTTATGTGTAGCTAAAAGCGAAATGAGGTATATATTTTTTTAAAGAAGATTTGAGTCCATAGTCCATACCCTCTTCTTGCCCTTTTCATTTCATTTCTTAGTTCATTCTACCACTGACATTAAACATCTTTAAAGTTCATAGTGATTGTCCAGGCATGTATATGTGATAACTTTGATATGATTGAAGCTGGTATTCTCAAATCATTTTATATCTTTAACACAGTATCCTTTGATAACGCCAGATTTGGATTTCATGTTTCACATGTTCTTTCTTGCACGGTACTGCAAGCTTCTCGAAGAGAACTCTTTCAGGGGAAGGACTGCAGATTTCTTTTACATGCTCTTGTTTGGAGCTTCTGTCTTAACTGGGATTGTTCTTATTGGAGGAATGATACCCTATCTATCAGCATCATTTGCCAAGATCCTATTTCTAAGCAATTCATTGACATTCATGATGGTAAGTATGTCTGCCTTCATTTAGATGCAAAATATGGTTTACTAGTATCCATCTTGGAAGCCTTCTTATTGTACTACATGTTATAGGTTTATGTGTGGAGCAAACAGAATCCTTTTATACATATGAGTTTTCTGGGTCTATTTACCTTTACAGCAGCTTATTTACCTTGGGTAAGTACTTTTTTCTTTTATTATTCTTCGATTATCTATTTTCTATTTCAAAGGCTGCTATGGTGGATTTCCCATTGGACTAAAGTTTTACTATTCTTATTTATGTTTGTGATCTTGATCCTACTTCTAGTTAAAGAATGTGATTGCTTCCTTTCCCTGTCTTTCAGGTGCTTTTAGGATTCTCTGTCCTTGTTGGGGCTAGTGCGTGGGTGGATCTCTTGGTACGCTTCCTTTATAGAGCCTACTATATTGTCGAAATATTGGGATAGTATTATGTGATTTTTTTTGCATTATTCCAAAATCCATTGTAGCATGTTCAGCCAATTGGACTGAGCTATACTTGTATAATAAAGCCTTTTCAATCTTTGGTCGCTGCTAGAAAAGCATTGTTTTGTCTCGAAACAGTGTGGAAAAAGGAAAGGGGATTGATGTGGGGGAGTAAGTCTGTCTGTTGGACTGTGAGACTGCCATATAATTGTGCTGTAGCTCTATAAACTTCCACCTGTTCTAGTCTCGCTTTGCGTAGATCATCATTGCTGCCATATTCTACTTTTGCATCTTGTCGGTTAACGGTTATCATTATTACTTCTGTGGCTTTTGTTTCATGAAACTAAGTATTTTGTTTATCCAGGGAATGATTGCTGGTCATGCCTACTATTTTCTCGAAGATGTATATCCACGAATGACCGGTCGTCGACCCCTAAAAACCCCATCCTTTATCAAAGCCATGTTTGCTGATGATGCTGTGGTGGTAGCACGGCCAGCAAATGTTAGATTTGCTCCACCACCTGCAGATGAACAACTGCCCTTCGAAAACTAGAGCAATTTTGGTTGAATGGATCTCCGAGAGGGAAGGCCTAAAAAATTTCTTGGTTGGCCTATTTCTTAAACGTGTAGCTTTAACATGCTAAATTGCTGATTATGGACAATACATCTTTTGTTTAGAATTAGAGGGGTGTATATCTGATGTTTCTACTTGCGCTATATGTGAAGAATTGGGATGAAAAAATTGTAACTATTACTTGATTGAGTGCCTTTTGTTGTTATAGAATGTCCCTTCTCTTCGTATATATTTGCGATATTTCAGGTTGCAGCACAGCAGATATTTTCGCCGACAAAGAGGCAACTTTATTTCCCTTGCAACTTTGTTAATTACAAAGCTGGTTTCTTCAAGTACAGCTGCAATTTTCTCTATTATTGTTTAATATAAATAGTCATTCAACTTAAATTAATTTACTGGTGGTCTCCCTCCCTAGTCCCTATGGAAGCTGCGCACGTGAATGATCTGATATTGTGGCCGGGGATCCACCCCAAAAAATATCTATCCACCTGCATAAGGGACCGTTTGGCCAACTGGGAAGCCTACTTTAGCTTCGCAGCAAAATAAAGTACCACAAACAAGTCCCTGTGGTTAACATGTTTTCAGTCGAAGCCTGTTTGGTTGTCTGAAAGCGTATCTTCCACTGCAGTTCTTTGTCTACTTTTAAGTTCACAGCTGTTCTACAATTTAGATTCAATAATCTCACCAACAAATAGATAAAGGAAGAGGAATTGAAACAGTTAAAAGGTTCCATATCAAGCGGGCAAATTGCCTGACGAAATGAGAGGTTACCTTTTCTTTTTATGGTGGGTAGTAGAACTGTAGAGAAAATGTACATTATAGATCTATTTGTTTGCGTAAAATGAATTACGGAATTGAGTTCCTGAAATCTCATGTTTATTTTATGTAATTTATTTTTCAAAAAATATTTTCTCGTGTTTGTTTCACGTAATTCGTTTTTCGAAAAATATTTTTTAGTATTTGGTTGGAGGAAAACTAGTTGGCAACGTAAAACATTTTCCTGGTCAACAGAATTTCCTGTATTTTCTGGAAAATAACTTACGGTCTGATTTTCCGTAAGTCATTTTCCGAACTTTTCACTTTAAAGAATAAATACTCAAAATAATTTTATTTTATAAATTTAATATTAATAAAATATTTTAATATCATTTTCATCAAAATATTAATTATTAAAATATTTAAAATATGTTTATTAATATTTATAATAATATAATATTATATTTTTAATATTATAATAAAATAAGCAATTATATTATAATAATATAAGATATTATATTTTTATTTTAATAAATATATAATAAAATTTTTATATATTTAATAATGAATAATATTATTTATATATTTAATATTAATATAATAATCTAATAATATTTTAATAAAGATATTTAAAATATGCTAATTAATATTTTAAAAATATAATATAACACTATTACTTTAATAAATAATTTATATAATTTATAATATTTTTATTTCACTAAAATATACCACTATTAATATATTTTTATTAATAAAATTATAAAAATAATATTTAATAATAAATAAATTATTTTAATATTTTAAAATAATAATATTAAGTTTTATGATAAATAATATTATTTATTGTATTTAATATTTGTAATAAATAATTTTTAAAAAACTCATCAACTAGTGGAAAAAATGTTTAAATAACATCTTCCAAACATCATAAAATATTTTCCAGAAATATAATTTATTTTCCAGAATTCAAATTTCAGTAATTCATTTTCCAGTAATTCAAATTCCAGTAAATTAAAATTTCAGTAATTCATTTTTCAGAAAATCAATTACAACCAAACAAACATACCCTATATTCAACCAAATGAATGCAATATAATGTTTACCAAATATCCAAGGATGTTTTTTTCCAGGGAAAACTTAATTGTTTTCAATTACGGCCATAGTCCACATTTAATTCAATCTTTCCTACTTGGAATCAACTTTTGTTACAGCAATGTTCCCCAGGATCAATTCCCAGACCAATCTCACAGCCCACAAAGAGAGGCTTACAATAAAATAAAATCTAATCATTGACTAGGACACCAGTGGCTAACTGAACAGGTAACCAATATGCATTTCCAACTTCAGGCAGCCCTTGCAAGAACCTCAACCCTATCAGGCACATCAGCAGGGTCAATATAGAAACCACCCCTCCTGAAAGACCTTGGCACGGTTACTGTCAAGACCCCATCTTCATATTTAGCTGATATTCCATCGATATCTACCGAACCAGGCAGCCGGAATTTCCTCATGAAGTTCATGGCTGGCTTCGTCGAATCATTGATTCCCTCAGTCCTAATTATAAGATATTTCGAGTCTTCAACTTCCACTTTTATCTCCTCCTTCCTCACACCTATTATAAAAACACAAAAAATGACATGAAACAGAATCCTAAGTACATAAACTAACGAGGTAAAGGAAAAGAAAGCAAGGGATGAAAATGAATTGTCTATGGCAGAGAGTTACCGGGCAGATCAGCAGAATAAACGTGAGCCTCTGGGGTTTCAGTCCAACTAACATAGTTTTCAGTAACAAGCTGGTTGGAGAAAAGGGAAGGAGATGCATGGAAATAATGCAAGGGAGAAAGTTGGTTTACAGGGAAAGGAACCTCCATTTTCTGATGAGAAGAAGCTTTTTTGGCTGCCTAATTGGATATATGAGGAGATAGGAAGACAAGTTGCTTGTCTGCACCTTTTTTTATAGGCCAAGTGGGCAAATTGATGCCGTGGGGCCTTTAATTGGGACCTTATTGGATATCCAAAGTTTCAAACTTTACGGAACGTAATTAAGATCTTGAGAGAATTGGATATTGGATTGGACGAATCTCAACTTTTAATTGTGATGTCCTGGGATTTTCATACTCAGTTATTGAAGCATGCAAGCCCATGTTAGCATTAGGATAGGATATTATCCGTGTATAAAATTGAGTAATTGATCCTATTCATATTGTAGGATGAGAAAGGAGTTAAAACATATATGAAAACGACAATTCTTTAATAGACAGATGCTCTAAGAAGAGTTTTATTACTGCGGTAAAAAGATACAAAAATTGTTAATCACATTGAAACCAGGAAACTGTGTCCAACAATAGTAATGAAATGTGCCAACAAGGCAAAACCTAAGCAGAATAATATCCGGTACTTTCACAGTCAGAGGGAGAACATAAAACTCGCGTACAAGCATTGGTTGTTTTTTTAATCAGAAATGACGGAATAACAATGAAGTTTACATCAACTAGTTGGTAATTCAACTCAATTACATTTAGATTTTCATTCCCACATTGACTCTCAGGCAATACCTGTGATCAGTAGGTAAAACAATCAAGAGCATACAATATATGTTTCAAGAATAAAATCATGACAAACTTTAGGTTCTAACTTCCGCTAGTTCCTGAAACTTGAGTCATGTGTTTACCCCCAGCACAAATCCATTGCTGTAAGAAGGAAGATTGGTGGAAGAATTGTGATTCTTCACCGGAGATCGGAAGGGATTTGGTGCCACAGGGTGGGTGATATGTAGTCCAGCACCACGGAGAACCTGTTTAGCATTTGCACACAAAATTTCTGACTGCTCGGTAAAGAAAGCAGGGACTCCGATGGCTTTAATCAAATCAAGAGCACCACCCCAATTGGAGTACCTATCCAATGCACAGTTCAGTGCAACTATAACATGGGGTGAAGGCAAGTAGGTGGCTTCTTCCTGATAAACACCCCTGACTAGATTCACCCTAACTCTGCTGCTAATTCCTGATGTTGTACCTGACAAGCTCGTTGGAACTTCAGGTCCAACCATAACTATTTGTATATTTCCCAACCCGTTTAATAAGTGACTGATCTCAGCAAATGCAGGCATCCAATCCATCTCTCCTTCTGGCCCCAGGTAGTGAAGAATCACCTCCTTTCCTTTTAGTAAAAGATTCTTTGAATTAATACTGAGAGCTGTCAATATATAATATACTGTCAAAGGGTGGGAAAGGATATCAGCAACAGGACTCGACAATGGCAGAGATCGAAGGTTATAGTACTCGGACCAACCAGAGAGCAGGATAGGGCTGGAGATCCCATCTCGTAATTGATTGCGAAAGGGTAAATCACCAGGGTATTCTTCCTCATCTAACCCACCCCAGGAATCCCATAGCCCACCTTTAACTGGAAGGAGACCGAAAGGGCAGTGTGAATAACAATTGCACTTCCTTCTCCACATCCCTTTCTGATGGATACCTAATGATTCAAGCCATTTACAAGGTTGGTCAGCCAAGCAAGGGAACATGAAAATTTTCATTACAAGCTCTTCTTCCCTTTCCATCATAGCTTTGTACAGACCACACATGCTTTTATGTGATTCCTTCCAGTGCTGCTTTTGGCAGAGAGAAGTACAGTAGACCACTGCTCGACATCGCCCGCAGCTGAGAGACTGTTCTCCATGAACTTCTTTCTCACACATTGCACAGGACCTTGAGCTGGAATTTGAGTTTACTCTAATATCCATGAAGGTGGCATCATCTGGTGGCTCTGCATACTTGGTTGGCGTTGAGCTGGCTGTTGAACTTGTCTTTTCTTCATATGCCTGACCAGGCGGATGAGAGATTGTAACAGCAACAAGTTCATGACCTTTAGCCATTTCTGGAGGCCACTGAATGTCAACTGTTTCAATAAAGGGGTCGAAACGTATCAACCTTGTCCAGTTTGAACCACCTTCTTTATCTGCCTGAAGCAATGGGTGCACCAGGGAAATGGCTCTCATGAATGCGTAGACGAACTTTAGTTCTTCCAGGGTAGGATTCCTAAACTGAAGCTCGCCTGAAGATGTGCAGCGTGTCACATCAATAACAGGAAACCGATCGTTCCCAGATGCTTCCAGTGACAATGACTTGATCATTTTGCGGTTGGAAGGAAACATTAACTTCTCAATCTCATATGTAACCCTCAAAAGCTCAACATTCGGGACTTTAATTGTCTCCCTTGAGCCTGTCATCTTCTTAGCATCATTTTCAGATCTGAACATATAAAACCCGATATCCCCACCATCTCCTCCAATGAACTGGGAACAAGGAAAAGGCTGTTTTTTCCCAGACCAATCTGATTCTTTCCCGACTCGGATACCAAACAGATGTCCAGGGCGCAATCTCCTCCAAGGTTCAGTTCTATATAGGGCTGCAGAGGCTTTAAATAGGGGCTTTATAAAATTAGAAGAAATGCCTTCCACCTTCATAAGGCATGTCCCAGATCCAGGACCGAGGCCGGGACCAGAACCAAATTGCTCCTGGAATCTATCAAACAGGTTCTTTAAATGTAAATCCATACGGACCCTAGTATGAAATCTAGCAAAATCCTCGATGAATTAGAGAACGAGAGAGAAGACAACAATTCCAATTACAGCGAGGAAACCAATAAAAATCTATCAAAACTCAAAAGATTTCATAAGCAATCACTTTAAACCCAGAATTTTGTCCAAGAAATAAACTCTAAATTCAGTAACGAGCAGGTAATCCACCAAGTAATTGCTGATTACCAGGCAAAATGAAGAGTTGAAGGCAAGAATAGAAACCAGTAAATTACCTCTATTTGGAAGACTAAAGGTTAAAATTCCATACCATGACTTAGTTGCAATTTAGAATTCTCCCTCAACATTCAGATTCAAAAGAGTGAAATAGCTTTCTAGATCCGTTGGCTTTCACTTTCAGACTGTAGAGTCTAGAGCAAGTACACCGCATACTTATAAGACCGAAACGGAAACTGATTTGTGACAAAAAAGTTGATGTAAAAAAATCCAAATTAGCCCCAATTTTATTTGAATATACCTTAAATTCCATATTTTATATTCCCGGACTACTGTGATATGAATCATAAAAAATAGCGGAGGAAATGAGATAATATATGTAATTTTTGTTTAGATAATTAAAATTAATTAGGAAAACAAAAGGTTCAATGACTTTTTGCCCTATTTTTTTTAAAATAAGTCATCATACCGAGAATAATATTTAGTTAAAATTGTTCAAATAATTTTTTAATTACACATTTTGAATCTTCAATGAAAGGGCTATATTACAGTTATTGTTCAAATAATTAATTTTAATTATCTAAACAAAATGTTACAATATAGATCCTTAATTACACATTTTGAATCTTCAATGAAAGGGCTATATTACAATATAACCGAGAATAATATTTAGTTAAAATTGTTCAAACAAAAGGTTCAAAGATGCTGGCAAAGTAGCGGTAAATATTGCAGACACCTCTACATTAATATTTGGTCCTTTCATCAGCTTGGCTTGGACACTTCAAATCATATATCATCATCACGAAACAATTCCTCGGGCTTAAGATTAGAATATACAACCCTGTCTTCAACTTGAGGCTTCAGATTTACTTTCTCAGATGCTAGCAAAGTAGCAGTAAATGTTGCAGACACTGGCTCATATGCATTAAGTACCTATACGTTAATATTTGGTCCTATCATTCTGCACTCAAGGATCTAAGATTTGTTCTTGCAGGACCTTTTTCCCCGGGGGAAGACCTTTTACAGGACCTTGTTCTGGAAGGTTAGGTGCATCATTTTTACGCTCAACAGACTTCTCACTTTTCCTTGATGAAGAACTCACAACATGGGCATGATCCTGTGCATTTTCAGATGGGATAGAAATCTTTTTTCTTTCGTACATCTTAGCATCTGGAGCTACATCATTTTCAGCAGTAACTGGAGTGAGTCATCATGGTATAAATACAAGCCCTCTAAGGTGCGTGTTGGTATCACCCACCTTAACACTAATAAGATATCCAACATAAAAATAACCTTCAATGACACCAGAAACAATCTGTCCTACCATGTCATTAGTGTTGGGAAATAAAACAAGTACGAGTAATTTCCCTATAACCAGATTAGTGAGAAATCAAAATAAAAAACGAAAAAATAATACCCGAAATTGATAACGAAATTCAGCCAATTTTTGTTTACGTCTCCAAACTACTGCAGATCTTTTGCTAAGAGAGAAAATTTACAGGTGTTTACAAAACACTCACTACTCATAAGAAAGCTCTCTAGTATTGGGAGAAATAAATGATTTGTGATTTTGGGTTGATTTTAAAGCTAAATGGGATATGGTATTTATAGTTGAAGCTTAGGGACTAATCTTATAAATACTCTAAAGTGTACATTGGCTAAAAATGTAATTAACCCAAAAAACATTTTAATTAAAAATTAGGTCACCAAATTCGGTGCCCCCCCTTTTTGACATTTTCTTCCAACAATCTCCCACTTGAATAGGGATGGCAAAAAAACCCGAACCCGACGGGGAAAATCGAAAACCGAATTAAACGGGTCGAGTTCGGGGATGATAAACGGGGACGGGTTTGGTAATCTCCGCCCCGATTACCCGCCCCGATACCTGACCCGATAAATATTAAAAATAATTATTTATATATATATATATATATATATATATATATATATAAAATATTAATAAATTTAATTTAAATAAAAAATATATATTTAATTTAAATATATATATATATATACCCGGCCCGATTCTCGGCCCAATACCGACCCAATACCCGACCCAATACCCGGCCCAATACCCGTTTAAATAACCGTTTATGCTAAACGGGGATACCCGTTTCCCCGCGATTTTCCCCGATTACCCGACGGGGATCTCCGTTTAAATCCCCGTGGTTTTTTAAACGGGGACGGGTACCGATTTTTTAAACAGGGACGGGGGGACCAATACCCGGCCCGTTGCCATCCCTACACTTGAAGACTGATTTTAATCCGTCTTCACACCTCGATCAATGCAACAACATTTCTAGTCTTGTTATTCTAGCATGTCAACTGAAACTGAATACAACTTCAGTTTGTCTGTGGTCACCGTCTTTGTCATCATGTCTGTCGGATTTTGAGCTCCACTAATCTTTTCAAGTTTCAAAATCCCATCTTCCAGAAGAGACCGGATAAATGATATCGCAATTGTATGTGCTTCGTTCTGGAATGAAAAGACGGATTCTTTGCTAGATGGATAGCACTTTGACTATCGCAATACAAGACATTGTTTTCTTGTTTCTTGCCTAACTCTTCCAAGAAACTTTGGAGCTAAACCATCTCCTTACTGGCTTCCGTAACAGTGACATATTCTCCTTCAGTTGTGGAGAGAGCAACTATATTCCCAGCTCACTGCAGTTCCTCCTAGAGTATAGATATACCTTGTAGTGCTTCTTCTGATGTCGACATTTCTGGCTAAGTCAGCATCTACATAGCCTGTCAGTATCGTATCTCCACCTTTGAAACAAAGTGCTTTGTTTGTGGTACCCCGCAGATATCTGAGGATCCATTTGACTGCTTCTCAGTGTACCTTGCCCGGATTATTCATGTACATGCTAACAGCTCCCACTGCATGAGCAATATCTGGTATGATACAAAACATGGCATACATCAGACTTCCAGTTGCTGAGGCTTACGACACCTTCACCATGTGTGTACGTTCTTTCTTCATTTTTTGTGACTGTTCTTTGGAGAGTCTAAAATGAACACCAAAAGGTGTACTTACTGGTTTAGCATCTTGCATGTTGAACCTGGAGAATATTTTGTTGATGTACTCAGCCTGTGACAACATCAAAGTCTCCGACTTTGTGTCTCTCTTGATCCTCATCCCAAGAATCTGCTTTGCAGCCCAGATCTTTCATTGCAAACTGCTTCGACAATTTTTATTTCAAGTTTATAATCTCTTGCATGTCTGATCCTGCAACGAGCATGTCATCAACGTACAAAAATAAAATAATGAAGCTGTTGTCGAACCTCTTGATGTAGCAACAATGATCTGCTTGGCATCTGGTAAAACCACTGCTACTCATGAAGCTATCGAACTTCTTGTACCACTGTCTAGGAGCTTGTTGTAAACCATACAAGCTCTTCTTCAACCTGCATACCAGGTTTTTGTTGCTTGCCTCTATGAAGCCTTCTGGCTGCCTCATATAGATTTGTTCCTCCAAATCACCATGAAGGAAAATTGTATTTACATCTAACTGCTCAAGATGTAAATTCTCTGCAGCTACAATTTTCAACACCAGTCCGATTGTAGACAGTTTTACGACTGGAGATAAAATTTCATTCTAGTCAATACCTTCCTTTTACTGAAAGCCTTTGACAACCAATCTTGTTTTGTAGCGTTTGCTCCCATCATGCTCTTCTTTGATCCTGTAAATCCACTTGTTATGAAGCGCTTTCTTGCCTGGTGGTAATTTAGCTAATTCCCATATCTGATTTGACATAAGCGAGTCCATCTCATCTTTCATGGAAGACTCCCACTTGACTGAATCCTCCACTTGCATTGCTTCATCATAGCACTATGGTTCACCATTGTCAGTCAGCAACAAGTAGTGCAAAGAAGGAGAATACCGCTGGGTTGGTTTAGGAATTCTAGAGGAGCGTCTTAGTTCCGATGTGCCTGGTTCTTCTTGAACTGCTTCAGGACTGATTTGAACTGCTTCAGGACTGATTTGAGCATCATTTCCAGAAATCTCCTCGAACTCGTCAAATTCCTTTGTTTCAGCTTCGGTATTGGAGCTGCTTGATTCTACAGTTGAAAGGTTTATCTCTTTCTTGCTCCAAACTTCCTCTGGTATTCTGCAGAGTCTATGTGTGCATAAGAAATACAACCAAACACTCTTAAAAGTGAAAGGTTTATTTCTTTCTTGCTCCAAACTTCATCTGGTATTCTGCCATCCAAAAGAACTGAAGGCCCACGGTTGATCAGGTAAGCTGCAGTGTTGATAGCTTCAGCCCATAGAAATTTGGGTAATCCGACGTGTATCCTCATGCTTCTGGCACGTTCATTCAGAGTTCTGTTCATGCGCTCTGCTACGCCATTCTGATGCGGTGTCATGGGAATTGTTGTCTCCATCTTGATCTGTTTGCGTAGAAATCTCTGAATATCCTATTTCTGTACTCTTCTTCATTGTCAGACCTTAACCGCTTGACTTTCAAACTAGTCTCATTTTCCACCATGGCCTTCCATTTTCTGAAGGTATCAAAGACTTCTGATTTCTTCTTTAGAAAATAAACCCACACATTCCTTGTAGAATCATCGATGAAGGTGACATAATATAATGAGCCTGTAAGAGATGGAACTGGAGATGGTCCCCATACATCAATATGAACCAACTCTAACTTTTCAGCCTTGGGTATCTTACCAATCTTTGCAAATCTGACTCTCTTTTGTTTGTCAAAGATGCAATTCTCACATAGTCCGACATCTACATTCTTTAGATTCGACAGCTTCCCTTTTGACAAAAGTGTCTTCATCCCTTTCTCGCTCATATGACCAAGCCTTTGGTGCCATAGGTTTGATTTTGCATCAGCATCTGCTGCAACAATGATATTCTCTAAGTTTGAGGTTACATAGAGAGTACCAGTCTTCTTACCACGAGCAATGACAAGAGCTCATTTGGTAATCTTCCATTCACAGACTAAAAACAACAACAAAACCCTATTCTCATATGTAATGGGGTAAGGGAGAG